CCTGAACAGGAAACCCAGCTATGCCATGCTTCCACCCTAGAGAAACTATGAGATGAAAAATGGGTGTTAAGCCACTAAATCGGCAGTAATTTGTCATGCATTGATAGAAAACTAACATAGAACCCATGCACCCGAATAAATTCAATGAAGAAAAAGGCAGTGCCAGTTGGGTAGTTATTAAAAAGAGAAAAGGGACAAAGAAAAACTAAAGCTAACATACAAACCATCTTTGCATTTATATCCCATTTCTTAATAAGAGTGATGGAAAGACAATTTGTGAAGCAGTTCTAATACTAGCTATACCATACTCTCTAAGGGATAAGGTTATTTTAGGCCAGGGCATTTTATATACAATCTGCAAATGACAGTATCTCAGAAGGAATCCCAGAGACAACAGCGGTGAGTAAATCCCTGCAGTATTTAACCTCAGGCAGTAATTCTGTAATGCTGGGAAGAGTTTTTATCTCCAAAAATCCCTGAAGACAGATTCCTGCCTAGTTGGCACTGCTGCTGTTTTTCCAGTTCCTTCTTCGGGATGAAAGCTTCCTGAAAAATTGATTTATTACTTCTATTTGTTAATGGCTTTGACCATTTATATTCACAAATCATACAGTATTGGTATACTTTAAATCACAGAGCCATAAAGTATTATAAATTCACATTGGCGTATATGTCATAAAATTATCCACAGCTGAAACAGTCCATATGAAATTTAGCTAATATTGGCACTGTTAAAACAAAAGAATGCAATTTGTAAAATATCAAATGTTACCATATTTCTACAAGATCAATTTAAACAGAAGCAATATTCCATACATCTAGGAAATACTGCAAAAACGAAAAAGTTTATCTGATTCATAAAAATGTCATAACGTCAGAAAATTGGTTTGAAACCTTGAAAGTAAGATATAAGAAAAAATGAAGGTTACTGTTAACTGCCTAATAATTTCTTATTTTAAGACCTACAATACCGTCACCAAATCAAAGGAAAAGGCTTCTGTAAAATTTTCAAAATCCCAGCTTTGGGTCCTTACATCTTGCATATCTGTGATGCGTTTTGTTCCCGTAACTACTTTGTCAGACCCTAGAGCTACTAGAATGGAAACCATTCATTCTTTACTCTCACTCAGCGACGAGAGTAAAGTTAGCACCCCGAGTTCTGTATCCTGCTTCTTTGAGTCATACTTTAAAAATATAACATTATCTACCATGTTCAGACACTGTCATCTAATGAACTCTTGGTCACTAACCTTCACCCTCCCATTATTCTGAGTATTGAGTAAAGTCCACCCAGATGATCTCACACCCTACCCTTGTACTTCCGTATCTCCGTCACTTCCAATAGGAAACCTCAACGCCACTTCAGCCACCCACCACCAAGGTCTCAGATCTTCTGACAATAGACACAAATTCACGTAATTGCTGTAAACAAATAAGCTCAGAAATCCAGCTATGTGAGGGCAGAGGAGGAGTCCCCCATTCAAAAATGGGAGGATGGGGAACACTGCATAAGCTGACACTGAGGGAAGCAAGTACCAGAGGTGACACATAAAACTGGAAGAGTTACACCAAGGCTCACTCAGGAGAAGCACTAAATCGCATGCAAAGAACTTTGGATATTACATCCTACAGGCAGTTCAGCCATATTTAAACAGTACCCCTCAAAGCGGCATTGGTCAGAGAACTCTAGGGGAATATCTTTCACTGGAGTGGGGGAATGAGCAGTGAAAAAAAGTCACAACTGAATAAAGGCTTAAGACTAAGTGAATGGTGCCCAAATTTTTGGTTTTGACAAATAGATGGAAATGATCTAGTTAATATCAGGAACTGTAGGAGGCATGGTTTATGGGGGGGTCGGGGGGGACATGGAACAGAAACTTACTTTCATACTTTCTTAATCCATGTAGCTAATCATTTCTTGAAGAATGGAAAAATTATTATACCATAATAGCTGCTTTTGATGATGGCAAAGTCAGTTAAGTCTCCTGGAAACAATCACAGAATTTGAGCTCTTCCTCTATTATCAGAAGTGGCCATTACAGATTAAAACAACTCTCAATGGAGATGATGAGGTGATGTGTTAAAGATGTAAGAAATAGAGACACTATCAAAATAAAGAAAACCCCATAATGTACTAGAAGAGAAATGATATACTATTGTACTAGGAGGCTAGTCTCCCACAAAATCATGTTGACAACATGAGTGAGGATTAGTTTTTAATTACTGTATTCAATGTAATTAGGAAAGCGACTATAAAAAATCTCTAGTTAATTTTCTTTGCCTATTCACTTAACTATTTCCCTTGACTATGTTTTCAGAGAATATAACTAATTATTTTTCAATGAATGAAAATATCTTCATTAAGAAACAGAACATACATACATACATACAAAAATCCATAAATACCACCAATTCTTCCATGATGCAAAATCTCCTACTGAGAAGTTCTCAAACAATGAAAGCTTGGGATTCTCAGTGTTTCATCATAAAATAAGTAATAATTTATTCCAACTATATAATTTACAATGATCAAAAAGTCAGTTTATTTAGCAAAAAAATCAGTTTAAAAATTATCAAATTTTAGGATCTCATCAGCTTGTATAATGCTTTCATTAAATGAGGAACATATAACAAATCCAATTACTAAATCATCATGTTCTAGACATTTGCACTCAGCATTTTACATACACACTCTTATTTAATTCCAGCAACAACCCTGAGATGTAGGTATTATACCTGTATTTTAAAACAAACTAAAATTCAAGGAAGGCAAGTGGTTTGTCTGAAGTCGTACAATTAGGGGGTATGTTGCAATTGAACCATTTGTCTGACTCAACAACCGATAGTGGTAACTATACTCGTTACAACGATTATTTCCTTACAGGCAACTAAGATCCAGTCTTGATTCCAGGCTCAACTTTAGACTTCGATTTGTCTTCCCCAGAATGAAGGAATACATCATTCATACCAAAACTACCTGGTACTTAAGTCAGAAATACATATTGTAGTAAATTAAGTTCCAACTGCTATGCCTTTTGGCTCAGTGGCTTTAAATCCTATACCGGGCATGCGTTTCCAGAGTCAGCAAAGAAAGAAGCCACATAGGGTCAAAACAGTCCTGGACCACCCCTAGAAAGGTACCACATTGGTGAGCAACCTCTTCCCATTTCCAATGAAGAATATTTTCTTTGTCCACTATGAAGAGATCACAGTTTTTGAACTGAGTTGAGTACTAGAGAGAGAACTGAACAAGATTTCAAAGATATGCATGTTCATTGAGTAAACTAGTAAAACATCAACTATTTAAGTTGTCATTTTGCTCTTCTTTCTTCCTTAAAGAAAATTGGTGTATTCTGCAATACCACCATATAATACAGACATACCTCAGAGATATTGATGGTTAGGCTCCAGGCCACCTCAATAAAGCGAGTCCTAAACTTTTTGCTGGTGGAGGGGCTTGCCTTCAATTCATAAAAAATGCAACATCTCTGAAGTGCAATGAAATGAGGTATGCCTGTATTAGGCGCTCCTGTTTAAAAGAAAGAAAAGCAGTTTTGGAAGACGATCTTTTTTAGTGCTCGACAATTTTATCCTTAATTTTTCATTAAAAACATTTTAATGGAAACATTATCGTAATTTATAATTATACTAGATTAACAAACGTTTTCACAAAAGTAGTCACAACTGGAGATGCTAAGATGCTTTACAGATACACACTTTTTAGACTTTTTAGTTTTTTCTTTCAACTGAAAGCTGCTGCGATGAGAGTGATCTTTCGAGGAGATAAAACAATTTCCATGGGGCCCCTCATCATTTTGTTTATTGCTGTCTGCTGACAATCCACACAAAAAACTACTTGTTAATCGCCTCCCTTTCTTAAGAAAAACTATGAAATCTAAAACTCTTGAAACATCGTATATAAATACCAAATGCTAGAATACAGGTCTTTAATTTGTATTTGTAAATATAGTTTTAATTTAACAATGATTCTTTTCTAAACCTCTTACCCGAACTCCATCAGGAATTTTGTGTGGCCCACTTTCATGTTAAAATAAAAAAGGTAAAGGGAAGAAGGTAATATTGAGTTGAGTTGTTTCAGACAAGTCAAGAGAAAGAGAATCGGCATCATCATCTATGTGAGGCTGCTTTTTCACTCTACCCAGATAGCAAGAAGGTCATGGCAATATTTTAACGCCGAATTAGATTTTGAGTCATGTGTAAAATCTTCACCAGGAAAAACCATCTTGACTTTCTAAGAAAACATTCTTACTACAATTATGTAGAATTAGAAATCTGACGTTTCCAAAATAAATATTTTTCTGATCCTGCTAGATCGAATGACTGACTACCCAAGATAAGGACGGATTACTGAAATTCACAAATAACTCTCCAGCTACTTCAATAGAATCAGTTACTTCAGCCCTGGGCTTCATGAAATTTAATTGAGGACAGACTGAAATCAAGTGATTGGCCCTTTACAAATAAATCTGCATAACTTAATGTGAGGTTACTCTCACAATCACACATTGAGTTCGACATGAAAAAAATAAACATACAGCTATAAAATGTATAATTAAGAATACAGAATAACACACATTCTCAATATGCTCTGTTGCCTCTTGAGAGGGGTAATGACGGGAGCATAAGCGTAAGGCACAAACAGTTCTGTAGGGGTGCTATTTCTAGAGGATATTTTCACATCCAGCACCCTAAAGTGAATCAAGGGCCCAAGGTTCCGCTCCAACTTAGACTCAAAAGCGCCTGAGGTGTGAAAGGTATGAGATGCTGAAGCGTGTAGCCAACGCAAGCTTCGTTGGTTTTCTGGGAAAGCATAAGGCTAACATCACCTCCAAGATCGTGGGGCCCAAATCCCCGCCCACTCGGCTCCCGCCCCGAGGCCGTCAACGCCCACGCCCACACCGGGCGGCAGGCTGCCTAGCAACGCGGCCCGCCGCAGCACGCCCCAGCCCGCAGGGAAAGGCCAAGGGGATTCATTCTACCTCCTTTTTCTTCTGTCCTCCCCCGAGCTGAATGCACAGGAGCAGCAGGAGGAGAAGAAAGGGAAAGCTCCCGGTGGGCAGGTACCGCAGCCGCCGCCCCGCCTGCCTCCGGCGTGAAGGAGCGCCCCTGGCACCCATCGCCGCAGGGCAGTGTCTCCTCCACGCTCGGTAACCGTGCGCGCCCAGCTCCTACCGGCGCCCTACACCTGCCAGACCAGCCGGCCGGAGCGCCCTGCCTGTGCCCTCGTGGGTGGCTGCGGCTTCGCCAGGCACCCGTGCGGCGGTCGCGGGCGAGGAGGAGGAAACTGACAGAGCATCCGGTTCACGGGGAGAGGGGACCTGGAAAGGCCCGGGATGGGGCAGGAAGTGGGCGTGGCGAGGGAGCGGGACTCCGCGCACCGCCCTCTCCGCGCGTGTGTTCCCGAGACCCGCGCTACAGGGGCGCTTGGTTCTCTTGCTGGCTGACGTGAACCCAAGGCTACCGTGTTACTGAAGCCAATACTAGGTCCTAGGAATATGCGAGGGCCTGTGCATCCACCACTACCTGAAACCACAGGCAGACATGTCTCATTGGATGGTGCAGAAGAGCTTTGAGGATTTAGTAAGGATGTGGCCATACTAGCCAACCGCAACCTCCGTTCTCATTGGTATATTTTAGGGACATAGCAGTAGCTCACATACCCAGCCCTCTGAAGCCCCCTAACATAATCCGGAGAACCTGTAGGCGTAATAGCCGCCCAAGACTTCACAGCTGTTCCTTGCAGCCGCAGTGGAGGAGCCAACCTGCAAACCACTTCGTTGATTCGTTTGGTCATTCACTCAGCATTCATGGAGCGTCGAAGTGCAAAGCACTGTACTAGACAGTTTGAATGCAAAAATGAATAGGACTTAATTCGCTTTCTGCTCTCTGAACATTTCAAGAACAATAGCAATAAACTGTTGGTTGACTATTTGATGTAGGCCAAGTACTGTTCTAGTGCTTCGTATATACACTTTTATTCTCTCTCAAGATATTTTCAATTGGATCAGGAATACATTTGATAGTCTGATGAAGCCTGTTGACCCAGTATGAAAATAATACTTCTAAATGCATAAGTTAAATACATAGCAATACAAAGGAGTCAGCTATTATTAAATACCATTATCAAAATTCAAAAATTCACCTCCTTCCACCTAGTCAACCAACATTAGTTTTTGGGAAATACTGGAAAATAATGTAGATGTGAGAACATTCATACTTCATTGTGTGAGTAAGATTTATCAAGAAGCACAATTATGAAACACTTGCCCAACTGTGGCATGAGGGCTGTAGATCAATTGTGGAATCATATGCAACCTAGCAACCTATTGCCATATGCAATCTACTGCCATATCTAATTGCAATTTTAATAGATATTGAAGTAGTGATGATAATATTTTGAAATATCTGCTACCATTATGCCGTAACATGAATAAATCTGTCATTTCTACAAGAAACAAAACTGTATGCAATAATACCATGTTTTGTTGCCTGCCTTCATGATTGAAGAAAAGATTTCCAAGATAGGGTAAGAGGAAAAAAAAGATTTTTTTTTCAGTTGAGGGTTCACAGAGGCTCCGAAATTTCGTGAACTCCAGACCAACAACCCCTGTTGCACAACTACCCTATCAGATAAGTCCTATTATGGCAATATTTGAATAAAGAAATTGTGGCCAGAAGATCTAACTGAAAATCATGTAACTAGAAAAGATCAGAGCAGGAATTTGAAGGTTGGCAGTCTAACCCCATAGTCATTCTTATATACCATTCAATGCCACCTTTGTCAAAGGAATTTACAAATAAATCTCTTTATCTCCTAGGCTTTTGATTTCCCATTCGTGTGAGCATTTTTGCCCTTAGCAGTTATCACTCCCAAAATAATAGCTCCTTGCTTTTTCCCTTGAGACTTGTGAAAGTGGCCTCAAATTTTCTCTATTGGAAACAAGAGTAAATGTGAGGGAGGGAGAAGAAGGAGGGGGGCAGGGGAAAGTGGTGGGGGGGAAGGCAGAGACAAGGGTATTTGGAAAAATAAATGTTTTTAAAAAAAGAGTAAATGTATGATCTATATCAACTAAACATCTTCACTGAGGTATATTCACAATAATCAAAATTTATCATCAGCTCCTTTCTCTCCCGAACTGGTCTTACCAGTAATTTCTTTGTTGTAGATAATGGTACCACCATCCCACTCCCAATGTTCAGAGCCACAGGGCTGCCTTCCATTTTCCCCATTCTCTGCGACCATGCGGCCATCTCTGTTCAATTTCCAGCTGGATCCCAGCTAAGGTCGGGGGCCAGTTGCCAGAACCAAGTAAGTGATTAGAGGGATGGGAGTTTCAGTCCCACTCCCTGACCTCCAGGGAGGTAAGGGGGCAGCAGGTCAATTCAGTTGCCAATGCCCAATAATTTAATCAATCGTGGCTACGCAATGAAGCCCCCATAAAAATGTAAAAGAGTTTCTGAGTTGGTAAACACATGGAGAATCCAGGAAAAGGACACTTGGAGGAAGCATAAAAGCTCTGCATCCCTTGCCCTATACCTTACCCTATGAATCTCCTCCATCTGCCTGTTCCTGAGTTGTATCCTTTTATGATAAATTGGCAATCTAGTAAGTAAAATTCTGCTTTGAGTTCTGTAAGCCACTCTAGCAAATCCGTTGAATCCAAGGAGAAGTTTGTTAGGACCTCCAATCTATTGACAGTTGGTCAGAAACACAAGGAGTGTGGATTTACAAGAACTTTCGTGTCACAACCTGGGGACTCAACATTTGGATTTTTGCAGTCCGAGCTCTGAAGTTGTTTTCAAGTCTTAATATTTTGCCCTTTTGGGCTCTAAAACCACCTGCAGAGCAAGCAGTCTCCCAGTGCTGAGTGTACTGTTTGATAAATTGCACCCACTGTGTGGTTGATAAACAATACCCCTTGTATTGGAACTGCTCAGTCAAAAGCCATTGTTCTGTGCCCCTGAACAGACACTAAGACTTTGAGAAATGCTTAATTACATGTTATGCATTGTTCTTAACACTGCAATTTCATTTGCCCCGCCAATCAGAAAATGAATAATGTAAGTTTATAACCTCATTTCCCTGGCAGCCCTTCTCTTTAATCATCATCATCTGCAACTTATGCCTTTTAAAATCCCTACCTCCCCACTCCTGTCCCCATGTGGGAACATGTCCTTGGGTCATTCTCCAATTTGCAAATCATACTTTACAAAGTGATCCCCGCAACATTTCCGGTAACCACCTGGCACCATGCGCAGTTATTACAGTATTATTAACTATATTTCCTATGCTGTATTTTCCCCCTTCATGACTATATTGTAACCGCCAATCTGTACTTCTTAATCCCTTCACCTGTTTAACCCTGCCCTCTGCCCAGCCCCTCCCGTCTGGCAACAATCCCTTTGTTCTACATATCAGTTTTTGTTTGTTTATTTTTTCTGTTTTGAACGTTCATTTGCTTTTTAGATTCCACAAATAAATGAATTAATATGGTATTTGTTTCTTTCTGTCTGGTTTATTTCGCTTAGCATAATACCCTCTAGGTTTATCCATGTTGTTGCAAATGGTAAGATTTCATTGTTTTTTTATGGCTGAGCAATATTTCACTGTATGTATGTACCACACCTTCTTTACCACTCAGGTTGCTTCCATAGTGTGGCTATTGGAAATAATGCTGCAATGAGCACGGTGTTTGTCTACTCCAGATATTCCCAGAGTGCACCATACCAACAAAAACGATTTTCCCAATCTGTCACTTTGCAAAATTTCTCAAGCACCAGAAAAAGAGAGGACCAGAAATAGAAAAATAAGAAGTAAGTAGCCACTTCAGACAAATATTAAATTATCATTGTAAAGTGCCTATTATCTCCTATCTGCAAGGAGAAGAGACAATATTTAGATATAGGAAAACACATTTTGACATGTGTACATACAGAAGAGACAGTCCTTGATAATTTTATCAAGCCATAAAATTTAAAAGCCAGGATTTATTGAACCCTGAAGTATATAAATGAAATGAAAGAGGGGTCTTCTAATGAAATAAAATAATCTGCTGTAGATCAGGCAATTTCTTCATTAATGCCTTCTCCTTTCGTTCCAAAGGAGCTATCAAATAAACATTTCGCTAGCATTGAAATTTCCCCCAGTAGTCACTGCAATTTCAAATTATCTCTGGAGAATGTCACCAGAGCGTAAGTATCCATCAGATTTAAAAAACAGTAAGGAAATAGGGTTTGCGCCTGAGAGAGGTGCAGTATTAGGTTGAGAAGTTCCCATGGGAACACCAGCAGTCAGTAAGGCTGGTACTTGTGCAAAATTGTGTCTCTGGGACTTGCTCTGATCAGGGACCAGACAACCCCCCTGATCTGAGCAGATGAAACAAAATAAATCATTTCTCACCAGACTGAGGGAAAACTCATTTTGAAATGGTGACCAAAGGCACTTTTACCCCAAAAACATCAGTGGGAGGACACCTTCTGAATCCCTCCTTCCTCAGCACTGGCCCAAGGATAGACTGCCCAGGTCTATTTCTGTCCCCTCCTTACAGACCGTTCTTCATGGAGACTAAAAAGGCAGCTCATAGTGTTAAGGGAGAAACTTGGTTCTTCTTACCAACACAGTAAAGAATTACAGATCAGCAAGCCTATTAGCATGCAAGCAAAGTTTATTAGTGCCAAGTTCTCATGAAAGAGAATGGGCCTAGCTAAAGTGGGGGGTGAGAGGCAAGAGCGTGGGTGGCAAAAGCAAGGGTGGCAAGAGGCATCCGCCTTTTGTTCTGAGGCCTTACATAGTTGGCGGGATGGGGGTGACGGTGTTACATGTTGATTGGTGGGTAAAAGCGGTGCCAGCCTCCCCTGGGGGGTGTGACTACCCAAATGTAGGTATATGTGGGGTTTCTTTCCCAGATAGTGGAAACAGTACATAGAATTTCAAGGACACCTGCTCCTGCCTTTTAGGCCATGAGATGCTTAGGACACCCGGCAATCTTAGTAAGATTGTTACGGAAAGAAGCCCAGTCTCAAGGACTCTTCCCATCTCCTGTACTATTACAGTTTTGCTTGTAGTGTTCCAAATGCCTGGCAGTCTTATCAGTCCAGAATCAGGACTGCTGGGTCAATGGGTGAGACATGTATTCCTTTGCTTCTAGCCTCTTGTTTTTTTTAGATTTTTTTAGTTTTTTGTTAGATTGTAATGGTGAGGGCTCTGCCTTT